TTTCACACCACTGTATATATATATATATATATATATATATATATAAGAGGGATGTTGTGAATATTGAGTATATTGACTCCATCCTAGGACAATTGAAATCCAAAACAGCAAATCACTCGTTTGCAGCTATTGTCATCTTCTTTTTTGTATTTTTCTATGCACACTTTCTCCAGCTCCTTTGACATTTATTCCAGTCAAATTCGCAAGTGCAGAATAGTTGAAAGCTCTGACAGTGTGAATGAATGAATCCCACAATACCAGAACAGTTGCCAGTACTACTTTTTCCGGATTTTCTGTGTGGAAGAGGCTTAAGGTTTCTAGGCGCCACACCTAATGGTGTTGACTGGTGTGTAATTCGCATCAGACAGTCAGTCAAAGGGGTTGGGAGGTGGAGAAGAGCGGTAATCCTGTTAGCAGGCCTCTTGCAATCTGCTGAAAAGTCTGTCGTCTTTATCTCAGTCCTGCCCAAGAAGAAACAGAGACAGTGGCTTTATGGAAAACACAGCCCAAAACTCTAGGCTGGATTAATCATGCACAGAGGTTGTAGTTATTTCCCGACAGAGTCAGGTTTGGGCAAGGTGCTCCGTTCAGGGTAGCAAGTTTTTTTTTATTATTATTTTGTGCATATTTATAAATTTATTTAAAAATATATTTTAATTTAATAAAAAAATATTGTAATTTTTACAATTTTTAAAAAAAATTTTTGAGAGGGTAAAAAGGGTGAAAAATTACAAATGTCTTGGTATCATACTGAGAAATTATTGAAAAGGAAATATATTTGAAAAACTTTTGTCCACCAACTAAGTCATGTGGCGCAGAAAAGAAAAAGCAAAAAACAGTAACTGAACCTCATGACTTTGAGGTCAGTAAGTCTCCTAAAATATAGTATCTTTTGACTTTTTAATAACCAGGCAATGTCATGTGGTGCAACTCTCCCCCAAAAAGTAATAGTAGTAATACATTTTAATTCATTATATTTTAAATAAATTACTTTTTACCTTGAAAAAATCTTAAAAGTGTAAAAATCTAAAAGAATCTTTAAAAACATGTTTGAAAATAATGATTTTATTAAATGGTTACACCATAGAGACATTTTAGTGCCATTAATTGTAAACATTACTGAACATGGTATTTCATAGCTATATGAAAATGGCATAAATGTGCATGAATGCAAATAATACATTCTAAGAACTTGGATTATATGTTTTAAATAGTATTTCATGTTTTCTTTATCGTAGATACTCTATTTTGTTATTGACCAAAATATATTTTAATTCTTCACATAGTACTCCTGAGGTAGCTTTATGGTAATTTTAGCTAAATCAATTTTCCAAGCATGTGTTTTCATAGTGATGCAAATCAAAGCTACTAGGATTCCAAAGATCTAACAGGTGAGGACAGAGACTTTCAACAAAGACCCCTTTGGTATTCTAGACATGCTGGCAAAAGTAAACTCTTGGTACCCATGCATGAAGTATATTCTTACCTGTCCCTGGGGGTGGATGTGGCTTGGTAAGCCAGGCAGGGGCTTAAAGGCCTGATCTAGTGCTGGGGGGAGTCAACTGGGAACAGAGCATGTAATTAGCATGTTTAGAGTCGCGGGTGACCCTGCTCACACGTTGATTGACAGTTCTCGCTGCTGCTTGGCAACGGCCCCCTGGGAGGTTTCAAATCCCATCACTGGGCTGTAATTGAGTGTCAACAAACAGGCAGGCCTCCAACGGAGCAGACCTCTAAAGACTGCTGCATATCTCCAAATGGTGTGGATGGGCTTCTCACAACACTTCTATAAATCAGATTCAGTCTGAATGCTTTGAATAAGACTGCTTTGAAGCCGTCAAAGTTATGACAAGTTCTTTTGATTCCTCAGTTGCGATACTGATATGAATCAGACACATTTTATAATAATGTTCTGGCAAAATGTGGCTATCAACGAGGGTAGTGTAGAAACATGACAGCATAATGACGTTAAGCACATTGGGACTTTAAAGACACCCAGTGTTTCACAGTACCTATGTTAATGAGTTGATATTAAAGTGAAATATGAATCAGAGCATGAAAGGACCGCTGGAGTGTGTATGTCACTGTTTATGAAGCTGTGTGATGTTATGAATAAAAAAAAAGAAGTAAAGCACATAGCTGACATGTCAAGGCTCAACATGATGTCAGCCTGATGTCATGCATATCCATTGCATTAGCATTACTGATGGTTTACTTGAATATGTATTACGATTGCACTAAGATGTAGTGTTTCATAATAATTATTTGTTTTAAGAAGTTACTTTCTTGTGATTCTCGTATGAATATTTCTTTGAATGTGTCTTTTTTTGTTTTGTCCCTCACTCAGCTCGATGACTGTGCTTTACAGTTGTCTCATAATGGCAGTTATCTGGACTTGGAGTCCACCTTGGCCGAGCAGAGAGATGAACTTGATGGATTTCAGGAGGATGGAGGGTAAGCAACTGCACCTTCATGCCGTCTTCTTTGGAACAAAAAAAAAACACACAACTATTTTCTATACAACTGTTAATCTCCAAAAATGACATAAACCCCCCCCCCACCAAAAAAAAGCACCGTAAATGTAGTTCCTCTTCAGGAACTCGAGCTGCGTCGAAAACGCTAGGGGAACGCCTTCTGCGACCCATGCTCTGAATCACATGTGAAATCAGTCCAATAGCTGAACGGGACGTCATGGCGGATGACGTCATGACCAGGAAGCTATAAAAGCACGTGCGGCGGAGCCAGCGTCAGCTTTCTGTCATTCAGCGAAGCGCTCTATGTGTGTCAGTCATATTTATTGTTGTCTGTCTATTGTGAGAAAAAACTCTAATAAGCAGCTATGTCTAAGGCTCATGCTAAGACAAAGCATGCAAAGGGCGAGTGCAAGCCACGTTATAGGTTGTGTGTTCCTCCCTGCCCACGTTACATCACGAGTGGGGATACACACAGCCTGTGCGTGGTTTGCTTGGGAGCGAGGCACGCAGAATCGGCTCTTGAGGGGGCCGGCTGCCCGCATTGCGAGCGCCTCCCACTGCGTACGCTTCGCTCCCGGAGGGCTCTCTTTGAGGAGGGAGCCTTTGCCAGGGTTCCTCGAGGTGCTGGCCCCGCTTCCGTCGAGTCGGAGCGACGGCTGCATTCGTGGGGTTCGCAGTTGGATCTGGCGGAGGGAATGGAGACGGGCGAGTCCTTATCTCCTTCCTCACCCACCAGATCCAGTGCCCGATCTCTGGGTTCGGAAGCCCGTTCTGCGGCTACTTCCTCCCAAGGTGGCGGCTCGACACTTCTCCTGTCTTCCTCCGAGGAGGTTGACGTGGAGGACGTCGAAGAGGTTTCGCCCCCTCAATCGCCCCAATATGAGGAGCTAGTGGAGGTGCTTACTCAGTGCCGTGGCCAAGGTAAAAATCGATTGGCCCGCCGAGAAGCAGGTCGAGCCGCAGCGAAGCAAGCTGGATGAACGTTTCCTGCATGCGAAGCCGCAACCTCCATGCTGGAGCCTGCCGTTTTCCCCCGACCTTCACACCGAGGTGTCAAGGTCGTGGGCCAGCCCTTTTTCGGCCTGCCTATTTATCCCTGCGTCAGATTATTATGGAAATGTTGCAGGGCTAACTGAGCGGGGCTATAAGGCGATGCCTCGGGTTGAACAGACGCTATCTGTCCCCAGGCATGGCATCATCTTTTGAAGGCTCCGGCACTGCCCTCCAAGCCGCTGCGTACATCATCAGCGCTGGTGGGCAAGGGGTACGTGGCAGCGGGTCAGGCCGGTCGGTGCGTGTCTGCACACAATGTCTGTGTTACAAGCGTACCAGGCCGACCTGCTGAAAGAGCTGAATGAAGGCAAGGAGCTTAGCTCTGATAATATCGCAGAGTTAAGGATCTCTCTCTCCGTGCCACCAAAGAGACTGCCCGCGCCATTGGGCGGTCCATGGCAGCAATGGTGGCAGCAGAGAGGCATTTGTGGTTGACCCTGTCGGATATGAAAGAGAAATACAGGGTCTTCCTCCTCGACGCCCCACTTGCGCCTTCTTGCCTGTTCGGCGACGCTGTCAATTCAGTTGTCGTCAGGGACCAGGAGGCCCGAAAACAAGCGGCGGTTCCTTCCTCACCGTATTTCAGCTCCGGGGGCTGCTGAGCGGCAGCAGTCCCCACCGCGTACCAGCTCCTCACATAGGGAGACGCAACAGAGCGTTGCCGCCCGTGTTCCCCCGCGTCGGGACCGGAGGCAGAAGTAGCGCTCTGGGTTGGGGGCCTTGAAGCCTAAGCCGGATCTGTGAACCGTCCTTCAGGTCGAAGAGGTCCTCGACAAAACGGTCCTGACTATCTGAGTGTAGAATTAGCGAAGGCAGGCCCTTCTGGGGCAGAGAGGGTCGCACCGCATTACACGGTGCCCGTCTCCCCCCAGTGCCCTCGGGAGATCGTTCTGCCAACCCTGCCGGTGTTCTAGGGCGCAGCGATCTCCAGCGAGAATATCTGTCAGTTACCGCCCGGCAACGTAGCGGCACTGAGAGGCTCGCGGCCTCTGCGGAGGTCCCCAGAGCAGCTAGTTCGGTCGTCCCCTGTCGGCGTGTAGACGCTTCAAGGCACCTAACTAGCCGTTCTGGGCACACCGGAGATCAGTCTCGAGAGACTGATTCCCTTAGTAGATTATTTAGCAGCGTGGAAGCTACTGCCAAATGTATCTCAATGGGTCCTGCGTACTGTAGAAAGAGGCTACGGAATCCAGTTCGGTTCTCGTCCGCCTCGATTCAACGGGGTCACCCCCACGCTAGTGGGTCCCGAGCAGGCTC